GCAATGGTGGACGCTCCCCCTGACGTCCCCCCCTCCCTCCTTGCCAGCAAAGAAAGGCGGATTAACTGCTCCCTGGCCATATGCTTCGCCTCCTCCTCTCTCCCCCTCCCCACCACCAGCAGCACGCGCACGCACACAACACACCCTGCTCAGCCCTCCCCCGCACCCCACCCCACATATACCTTCATCCCTCTCCGTTCATAAGCCCGCCCCCCCGCTCCTCCTGAATTTCTACAGGAAACCTGCTTCTCTCCCTCTTTCCAGCCGCCCCCGTCCCAATAATGATCACCACCATAATAAAGGACACCTCAGTCTAGAAGGTCCATTTGTGCGCGGCCTTTTTCTGATCCTGGGCACCGTCAGAAATTGCATTTGTGCGGGAGGATGCGGGGGGAGGAGAGAGGGAGGGAGGGAGGCGAAGGGGAAGAGGTTTCCCATCCCATCCGATCCCCTTTTATGGCTGCCACTTCCTGTGAGAGAAACGAGAAGATCCTTGGCAATCAGACCAGATATTGCTGGCACGCGAGCACCCCCGCCTCCCACGCCAGAACGCACACGGATACAGAAAAAGCCTCCTACGCCGTCGCCCCCCAACTTCCTCTCAGCACCCCTGGCTGGAGTCAGGTCGGGTGGGCCAGCGGGAAGGGGGGGGGAGCGATGCCCTGGCTTGTCTGGGCATTGGCCCCTCCGTAGCCCAGCCGCTCTGATGCCCCAAGACGGCATCGCTAGGGCGGCAGTGCAGGGGGGGGGGGGGGAAGCCAGCCGTCTTCTGCTGCCGCAGCCTCTCCCCCCCCCCAGAAGACAACAGCTCCTGAATATCAATGAGGGGGGAAGAACAGCGCCCCCCTCGCCTGAGCTGGTTTTTGGGGCGCCTTGCAATGCTCGCCGACGCTGCTTTCTGTCTTCTCGCCTCCTTCCCCCCCGCCGTTTCTTTTTTCCTTATCTTTTCTCCTCCTTCTTGGCTTTGATCATCATCATCATCTCTCTCTCTCTCTCCTTTCACAGTTCCTCTCCCTCCAGCACCGCGGCTCACCCTTTCTCCTTCACCGACATTTTTTCCACCCATAGGGAAGGAGCGTTTATTTATTTAATTTAATTCAATGTAATTTATCTGTGCCCTGCCAAGCCTTTTTTTTTTCCACGACGTAACATGGAACATCTCTCCACACGCCAAAAAGAAGGTGGAGGGGGGGGACAGAGGGGGGGCACGGACACACACAAACTCGGACACACACACACACACAACTATCTTGCCGCGATCACCTCCACCTCCGGGCTAATAAGAAGCTTGTCGAGATCACCTCCACCTCCGGGCTAATAAGAAGGAAGGTGGGGGGGGAGAGAGAGAGAGCGGTAAAAAGGGACGGTCTGGTCCCTTTCAGAGACGGAATCTCACACCCCGTCACTCCCTACTGTCTCCGGCCATGTGAATCCGCACACACGGGCGCCCAGGCACCGATCGCACGTGCGGTCAACCCGCGAGGCGGAATCAAGGGATGGCGAAGCGGGTGCCCCGCGTCCCGGTTCTCCAGCCCGCAGGGAGCAGGGGCGCTCGAAGGGCCCCTCCGTCTGCTCTGGGAGGCGTCTTCCCGCTCCCAAGGACAGAGAGAAGGATGAGCTGCGTGTCGGTAGGGAGCCATTAGAGGGGAAAAGAAGGTGACCGGCCCCGCTGGGGACGAGGGGGGGGCGCGCGCTACATACGGGCACCACCTCCGGCTGGGCTGCAGAGGGAGGGAGACGCGCGCTCCCGAGCGGACCCATCGAGCGCCATAAGACCCATCTATCTCCCTGCCCGTGCCAATTCCCCCCCCTCCCGGCAGCCACCCCGCAGGCTGGAACAGAGGGGATTCAGACGTGCCAAAGGTGCTACCCCGGGGGCGCCAGACGTGTGTCTACGCGNNNNAGGGGAAAGTGGGGGGGGGGGGAAGAGAGAGACAAGAGGGAAAAAAAGAAAGAGATCTAGAGACAGAACAGGGGGATTAAAAAGACACGGGTCTGCGCGCGCTCACGTGCGTCCCCAAGCCTGTAAGCAGACGCCCCACAAGGAGCGGCATCCATCCTGCTCTTGCCCAGAGCAGATCGACCCTCCGTCTCTGTTTCTCCGGGCATTTCCACGCGCCTGGGTAGCCATCAAGACACGAGAGAGAGAGAGAGAGAGAGAGAGAGAGAGAGAGAGAGAGAGAGAGAGAGAGAGAGAAGATTATAAATCCCAGAATTCTCCACTCTGGGCATCCCACTTGACAAGATACCGACATGTGGCTCACTTGAGGAAAAAGGCCTAAACTGGGAAGTTCCATGCATAGCACAGGCCTACACATGCTTAGTTTCCTGTTCAAAAAGAAAGCTGCCTTGAGATTGGTGGGAGCTTCCTTTTTGAACAGGAAGCTAGATGGAGCTAGATCTATGGTAGGATACAAAGACTTCCAGATTAGGCCTTTCTATCAGATGAACCACATTTAGGTAGCTGCCAGAGAGATGCTGCGCCCACGGCTGCCAGGCGCGGAAGGACGGGGCCGGGCGCGCTCCTGCCTCTGCTGTCTGAGCCCGGGCAGGCGCGGCAGCCAATCAGCGGCGACTCCCCCACGCACCGGCCCACCCGCAGGCCCCGCCCCTTTTACTGCAGAATTCACCTTGCACAAGGTGGGGAGAAAGGGAAGCAAGGGGACGGGGACGGGGATCCCCCCCCTTCCGGAGCCCCATCGACACAGGCTGCTGAAGCAACTCCACAGCGGGGCCGCAGGATTCAGAAGAGCCTGAGATTTTCCCCACACACACACACAGGGAGCCTCCCCCTCCCTCCAAAATCGCCTCCAGGATCAGCCAAGTTCTCTGGCCTCTGGCAAAACCTGGAGTCTGGCATCTCTCGTCCTCTGCCACAGGCCTCCAGATGGGTGATCCCCCCCACCAGACACCCCTGCAGCAAGAAACAGGGACTCCCAAATTCTCAACAGGCCAGCCTTTCCTGTATGTCAGATCCACCGAAAAACCATCAAAATGCAGAAAATTACTGTGAACACAAGCAGAGAGAGAGAGAGAGAGAGAGTAGATATCAGATGGATTTGCTTGTTTATTGTATGTATTTATTTAAAATATTTTTACCCAGCCATTCTCTTTAAAAAGGACTTAAGGCACAACAATCTAGTTAACAACACCACTCAGGCAGGCAGGCACTCAGGGGAAGCCGGCCTGAAGAGAACCTTTGCCTGCTTGCAGAAGGGCAACAAAGATGGGGCCAGGCTGGCCTCCAGTGGGAGGGAGTTCCAAAGTCTAGGAGCAATCACTGAGAAGGCCCTCTCCCATGTCTCCGTCAAATGCACCTCTGTTGGATGGAGAAAAGACTCTTGTGATGCTCTTGACACCCAAGCAGGCTCATAAAGAGAGAGGAGATCGCTTGGACCTAATCCGTAGATTTGGAAACCCCCAATCAATACAACATGGCTCTATGGTAACTTCAAAACCATAACACACCCCAAAATCCACATTGGGCGCTCACACCAGAACAAGTCAGGGTGCCCACGTGCAGCCAAACCCCGCATCCCGAGTACAGAATCACACTCCAGACCATTTGGGCCACCACCTAACAAACTGAATGCGGGGAAGCTCAGTTAATCTACAACTCTTTCGTTGGAAATAAAAGTTAGAGAGAGTTGCATATGCTGGAGGCTGAGTACATGGTTTGTCTACTGAAGGTCCCCCTTTCAACTCTCAGCATCTCCAATCAAGATGTTTTTATGTTTTCTAACCTTATTTATTACATTCCAGTCTTACCTTTCTACTACTGAATAGCAGCAGCTAATGACATCCCTATAAACTATTTGAGCAGTAAAATACGGTAGGATCCACGGGATTCTCATCCACGGATTCGATTGTCTGCTGCCTGAAAATGTTAAATTTAAAAACACAGAAATGCATATTTATACATATTTCAATGGTGTACTTATCAGAACTAGCCACTAGAGGAGGCCAGAGGCGATGCTATGTATAACATTCACAACTTCAAAATTTTGTGTGTGTGAAGGCCAGAGGCAATGCTATGTATAGCATTCACAACTTCAAAATTTTGTGTGTGTGTCCATGGAGAGGGTTTCTATAGAAGCTCTCTCCTGCAGGTATTGCAGTCCAACTATATAGCTAAAAAACAAGACAATGCAAATATTGAATAATAATGAGCAAACATCTGAACCGTGTAAAAGGCCGGTTGGAAGAGTCGCGTCTTCAAATCCTTCCTAAAAGCAGCAAATCTAAGAACGGACTACAACCTTTAGAAGATTTTTGAAAACCTTTAGAGCAATTCATGTGGAGAATTG